CCCCCGCGGGCAGCTTGAGCCAGTAAAACCAGACCCTTTCATCTCGGCGGAGCCGGCTGGTTTCCAAGGAAACGGAATCTTGGCTCGAAATAGTGAATCATTTCCAGGTCGCCTTCAACATGGAGAGCGGAGCGGGGAAGCACTGGACTGAGGAGGAGGTTAAAGCCTTGCTGAGCGTCTGGTCAGAAAAAACCATCAGAAAGCAGCTCCACGGCACCCTGAGGAATAAAGGGATATTTATCTACATCGCTAAAAGGTTGCAGGAGTTAGGAGTTTGCAGGGATTGGAAGCAGTGCCGTGCAAAGTACAAAAACCTGAAGTATGAATACAGAACGGTTAAATACGCCCGCAACTCCGGGGATGTCACTAAAACCATGAAGTTTTTCCACGACCTGGATGCCATATTGCGATGCGAACCTGTCACACAGTTAGCGGCAGAGGAGAACGGCCGGGGTTCTGCGACCGAGACGCAGCTGACCGCACGGCAAGCCCCGCCACAGACGGCACGCAAGGTAAAAAAAAAAAAACAAACCCCAAACCTCTCTTTGCTTCTATTTTTTTCTCTCTTTGCTTAAAAACCGAAGGGAACCAACGCTGAGCTTGCTGGAGCCGGAGCGGAGGTCGCGCAGCCCCAACGGCGCGGTTAGAACTGACTCGATGCACTCCTCGCGCCGGGGAATAAAATGTTAGCACCCACCAGTGTCGAAGTCGGTAAATACAGCGTAATCCGAGCAAAAATTATGCTGACTGCTTGCCTTGCAGCCTCGGTGAGCGCTCGCCGGCTGTCGAGGCTCCTGCGCCGGGGCGAAACGTGGAATTGAGAAAAGCGGTTTTCTTTCCCTTTGACATTCGCCTGCGGTACTTTGGGAGCAGGTTTTGTACAGCTCCAATTCAGATGTAAACTTAAAGAGAGATAAACGTAAGGGTTGAAACTGTCAGGATTTTTTGGAATCGTGATTTGTGATAGAAGTGTACTTTACCATTTTTATGCTTGTTTCCCTCCAACTGAAAATTTAAGTGTGATGATTAAAGGTAAATTAAATTATTTTGTAAGCAATTAAAGTCAAATATTTGAGAAACAGAGGGATGTTTACTAACTTCTCGTTAAAAATTAGTAATGTAGTGAAGAAAGTAAAAATCATGTTTATCAGATTATTTTGAAGCAAAACAAATGAATACAACCGCTTTTATTCTGAAGGGGTTTTTACCGAATTATTTGCATCTCTTGTTTTATTCAGCCCTCTCTACATATGTATTTAAGCTGTGCTTAACATTAGGGTCAATCTGCTATTTGACATCACTCAAATCTCCTTGTCACATCCTAAATGTCACTGAAGCGTAAGCCCCAGTAAGAGTTGTAAGTACCAAAATAAGACGGCTAAAAAGAGAAATGCAAAGCTTAGCCGTTTGTTCCCACAGTATGTGGCAATTTACCTGGACTGAGATTGTGGATCTTTTTTAAGAAAACAAAAACCACTACATGTGTATCAGGGGAGATTGCCAAAGGCACAGAAAGGAGCTGGACATCTCGTTTGCCCTTGTACCCTTCCACGGCTCCCTCTACAATTCTCTTTTACAAGCCTGAGGAAAAGAAATTGGCATTTTTCTTGCCAATGTTTACGGAAACCTTGGCCTTAAATTTGTCATGCTTAGCAGAAAGCCTCTGATCTGTCCAAGTCACTGGAAAATAAACTGGCCATTTTATTGTATTTTAACATGTGCTCTCTGTGCTGTGTATTGCCATCCTTTTTTATTTTCACACTTGCAGAACAGAGGGCCAGATCTGTGGCTAACGCCAGCTGTTACACCCCTGAGGACTCCATGAAACTAAGACAGTGTCCTTCAACTGAGGATCTGCCCTTAGATTGCCCTCTGTGTTTCCACATAGTTTGCACCAACTGTTCATCCTAACTCTCATCTGCCTTAGACCTCTAGCAAGCTTAAGTCAGAAAAAGTTGATTTCAGTTGTGAATCCCAAAATAGAATATATTTTTTAAAAATTAGCCCTGGGTGAGACACACCTCATTTTGAAGCAGTAGGGCAGTCTGGTTTTAAAGGCGATATAATTAAATACATCTCTTAAATGCACAAGCATTTCTGTTACTCCTTTGGAAAAAAAAAACAAACAACCCAAGCAAGTTTTATGGAGAAACAAAAATTAAATGCAAATAACTGTAAGAATGCAACACTAGTGGTAAGAATTTAAACGCAAAGATTCCCACAACAACCGTAATTCAGCCGCAGAGAAAACCACCGAGGTATAAACGTGTCCTGCAGCTACGCAGAACACACATCCACCACACGAGGCCGAGCGCACAGCCGTGAGATGTTCTCACATCTGCTTTCTTCATTTAAGACTACAAGGCAGGCAAGCGAGCAGCACAGCCACACTAGAGGCCCGGTCCTTCTCCGACTGCGCTCAGAGTTGCCCAGCTCGGCACTTTGGAGGGCCACGCCGTTGTAAGGCTAGAACGGCATCAGTGGCTCTGCAGAGGAATTGTTTACCATGGTGGAGTCCTCATCCCTGGTGGTGTTCAAAAACCGTGTAGATGTGGCACTTCAGGACATGGTTTAGCAGGCATGGGGGTGTTGGGTTGACGGTTGGACTTGATGATCTTAGAGGTCTTTTCCAACCTTAATGATTCTATGATGGTGAAATGCTGGCACAGGTTGCCCAGAGAGGAGATAGATGCCCCACCCCTGGAAACATTTAAGGCCAGGTAGGACAGAGCTCTGAGCAACCTGGTCGAGTGGTGGATGTCCCTGCTCACTAGAGGGGTTTGGACCAGATGGCCTTTAAAGGTCCCTTCCAGCCCAAACCAGTCTGTGACACTATGGTTCTACATTTGCGTCCCTGCAGGTCCCCTCCTGGGCTTCTCCCTTCCGACCACAGTGTCACAGAAGAGAGGGGGAAGCAGTCCCCCCGGTCTGTAACGAGAGCCCCAGAGCCTCCTTCCCTTGGAGCTGGAGGAACCAAAGATGTCTAGGCTTGCAACTTGGGTAGCAAGAACAAAATGCTGTCAACAGACCCAAAACCTGTGCCAAAGAACATTGTCCACCATGCACGTCTGTCTTTATTTTGAGAACCTAGTAGCTATACTAATTTGTTTTGTTTAAAAAGCATGACAAGGTACAGGGCGTGCTCCCAAAGAAATGACTGTATATTTAACATTCTGCTTAACCTCAGTCTAAATCCTCATACCCATCCTTAATGTAAAGCTGCAAAGCATGTCTTTGCGTTTGGTCGGCTCGGTTATCTCAGCTACTGGGAGACTGCTGGGGAGAGGGAGGAAGGGAAAGGAAGAAAAAAAGAGACTGGAAAAAAGAGACGGGTTAGTATTTCTATAGTGTTTCCTTGAGGTTTTTCCCCTATCTTGTAAAATCAGTTTTCTTTTGAAAGCGTAGTTAAAGAAATGAATACTGAAAATCACAACCAAATCAAAGAGGGAGGTGCCTGCGGACATACTTGGTAGCAGCGCACACACCAGTTCCCAGCTCGCCCCTGGAAAGGTGACAACTTTTGCACAAGCACCTACAGCAGTGCAAGCCAGCAATGTGCGTGTTGTCCTCCCAAAACACACGGTTCCAGAGGCAAACACACAGCCCTAGCATAAATAATCATTAAAAAAGATACAACTCCACATGTTCACTTCTCTTAAAATTTAGTTTGTGTATTATCCCAGTCATCAACAACCAAGAAAATCCAGGCAGCGATGGATGGCACGTGATGAAAAATGGTATCATGCATTACAGGTCAAATAAATGGCCGTCCCATTTTGTTAACTGGTTTTGATCGTTTCAAGTTAGACCAAGTACTAACAAAGTGAGTACCTGATTTACAAAAGTGAAGCTCACCTAGTAATTCACGTTCAGTTACTTACAGCTCTTCTGTATTTAGATATTAACACGCTGCCCGCTTTCCTTGCCCTTCGCTTTACCACAGGAAATGCAGAAAAAATATCAAGTCTGAGCAAAAATGCATCAGCAATGATAATATTAGCATAGGTACTAAACTCAGACAGCGACTAGAAATGCAAAAAGAGCCTTCAGAAGTGCCAGCTTGAAAATGCCACTCATACATAGTTTTCCATGTCTGGACTTTAACATTAAACATGTCATTGACGAGTATTTTACATATTTTTTTAATAAGTATGCAATACTCTTATTGAGCAACTTTTTTGCTCATCGGATGTTTTTTCCCCCCATCAAATATTCTAACATCTTATCATGTTAGCTGTTCTTATTTACTTAAAATAATAAATTGTTTCTTTCCAATATTACAATCTAATTAAACGTGCTCATCCTAGTCCCCGTGGCATGCTCGGCAGCCTGCCAGGCGACCGCCGACTGCCCCTCGCCGTGGCTCGTCGTGCCGCTCTCGGCAGCTGAACGCCGGCCCGGGGCAGAGTATGTCTCTTACTTTTCATTATCTACTTTCAGTGTGCTGCCCACCCCAAACACTGAGTCAGAAAACCATACAAGTCACTAGAATCAAGTCAGATTCTGCAAGAATTTTAAAATATATTTCAAACGTGCGAGATATAAAATAATTTAATTTACCTCCTATAACTCATGTCCCCTTATGGGGACAGGCCAAATTAATTTTAAATTTAATCTAAATACAAATTAAGTGTGGAGATTACAAAGTTAAGAATCTTCTCACTGTGTATGGACATTTTTACTTAAACTAATTTCAGCTAATTTAGTCCATACCTGTATTTCATCTAAAACCTCTTTCCTTCCCAGGTGAACTATCAGTTTCTTTAGAAGATGATGAGGATGCTCCAGGAGATCCACTGCTTTTTATGTCCCATGTCAGACCAGTTCAACTAGGTACGGTATGATGGCGCAGAGAGATCGAAAATTAAACAGCAGCGTGGCTGCCAGAGCACTTGCTGATAGCGTGAACACGCTGTCACCGTTTCTGATCAACAGCTTTGAAATAGCCCCATTTTCACCCCATCTCCTTCCCAGGTTTAGTGCTCGGCAGCCTCGTGCATCCCCAGATACCGGCATGGCCCGCATGACCACCGGTCCCATTCACAACACATCCCATGCTGTAGCTTAATCGTATTAATCACTTTAATTTTGTTAAATGCTGGCGGAAGGTATGCCAAAGTATACCCAGGCCAACGTGCGGATTTTCTCTAACTCGTGTAATTTCTGCTTAAAGCTGCACGAGCGAATGGCCTGAGCCAGGAGAGCCAGGCCAAGGTCAGACTTGTCCCACCAAGCAATCCAGATGTGCAGTGGTCTCCAAAGCAGCTGTATCCTCTCTCTGAGCAAGGGGTGGTGAGCAATGCTGTAGGCCAACTCGCCATACGGCAGCTCACCCGGAGACCGTCCCGCTGTAGTAGTTTTGCTCAGGAAAAGTCATCACAGAGCAAAGGCACACACCGGGCAAGCGAGGAATCATAGAATCATAGAAAGTTTTGGGTCGGAAGGGACCCCTAGAGGTCACCTAGTCAAACCCCCCCGCAGCGAGCAGGAACACCGCTAACTAGATCAGGTT